ATCATTCGAAATGTGCCTCCCAGCTCCAAAAAACTGAATATCCTATATTACAACAATGAATTAGATAAAAATACACAGACAAAAATACACCTGGCATGCTCACCTAAAATCAATTTAATTTCTTCCCAGAGAGCTTACTTCTAGAAAAAAGTCTTAAAGTTGGTTTTAGTAACTCAGTAACTAAAATTCTAAGCCGAAGTCATATATAAGATCCTTCAGATAAACAGCCTTGCTAAATAGCTTCTTTAACATCTCGATGCAACTAAGAATATTGATTACACTGTTCAATCAATGAGCACTGTAACTGATAATGTGACAAGAGTATAAGTATGAACATTGTAAGTGATGAGGCAGCATAATATAAGCTCTGATGTTAGAAACATTGCATGGAAAATTCTGACAAGGTTATGCTGAATTAGCTGTGGAAGAAATTAAACCAATTATGAAGCATACGATAGTTATTCCACCACCCACTGACAGGTATATAGGGAAAACAAGTACATACGGTTGTTTTTTTTTAATCACAGCTGCTCAAGTCAATTTTCTATGATGAAAACAAAAACAGAAATAAAACACAAGCAATGAGTTAGCTTGTTTAAATAAAGCATGAATATATATCGCCAGGAAATGAAGAAGTGGCTGGTCAGTTGCTTCCAAGAAATTCTCAAGTTTTGAACACAAGCAACTGGCTTTAAAGCTGTAGTTTTCTTTTACGTATTGCAGCTAACAGCAGACTTTATCAAGCATTAAAATATCTGATCACTTTCCAATACTACACCATTCAAAAAAAATTATGTCTTCCTCTTTATCCTCCGTAACATTTTGCCAGCACAGATGGGGAGAATAGCAAGGTGCAAAGAAAAACAGTATTTTTGTATCATCAACTACTGTGAGTTCTTCTCATCCTTACATCTTGCAACATTTTTTTCTAGACAAAACTTTAAGGACATAGGAACTTTTTTTTTTCCTGGCATTGTTCTCCTACAAATTATAGGAATACTATCTGAAACAAATAGAATGTAAGGCAAGCATAAATGCAAATGACCTTTTGCAGTTTTTCTTTTGCAGTGGAAAAATAAAAGGATCAGGAAATAGTGCAAAACCTAAAGAAACAGTGGCATTTTTCCAAATAAATAGCCTTTCTTCATTATGCAGGTATTTCTTCAGTTCTCAGATAATAGCCATGTAACAATTTGCATGAACCCAACATTTAGCAAGCTGCTTATAAGATGACCACAGGGACAGAGGGGTTGGAAAAGATATTAGACGTACTAGGACGAAAGCTTGGGACCAAATAAGAATTCAGATAGAGAAGGACAGGTACAGGGGAAAAGGCAAAAAAAAATCGCAACCCCATACTGATAAAAACTTCACATAAACTCATCCACAGCATTATTAGCCCATTTCCTTGCATTCTCTTATGATTACAGCATGTGCAATATAAGATGTTTCATTCAGGTTAAGTGTTACATGCTTATGTAGGTCAGACTTATCTTTAACCATATTCTGCTGCCTTAACCCTAACCACAAGCACTCAAGCCTCATGGTTTTTCCCCATCTATAGTTCAACACTTTCCCACTTTGTCTTTTCCTGAAGAAGGATACTATACCCTTTGATAGAAACTGCCAACACAGCATTAACAGGTGACCAGCTGTTCTTCAACTGTTAAATTGACTGACCAAACCAAGCAGGACCAACTTCTAAATTTAAAATACTTTTTGGTTTTTAATTTTCTTAATTGCAAGCAAATATTGGTCTGACACATACTTAGGCTATTGTGGATGAATACCCAAAATTCCTAATGCTTCATATTGTGGTTGCACTNCACTGGTAAAATCACCAGCAAGATATTATAGGAGTATTTTCATGTTATGGCTATTTCTTCTACCTTTTTCTATTGGGTAGAAGCCAGGAAGAGACCACTCACAAGCCTTGGTTACAGATTCTAGTCAGCCACTATATAATGGATTACTAATGAATCAGAAATCCACATCTGCACATTATACTGCATTATTAACAAACTTGGATTTACATGTTGCAAACCCTTGCTTAAATCATTTGGGAGCTTAATTTCTTTTTAAAAAAAACAAAACCCTACATTCAATTAATTCACTTGATTTATGAAATTATGAAAAAAGAAACACAGTATCAAAGTTTGTATGAAAGAATTTCAACTTAAGAGAGTTCCTAAACTGGAAAATGAATTCAATCATTTGATGTTTTAAATTGTTTTAAACTACAATAAACTGCAATCTCGTAAATCACTCGTAAATAAAACTGTTCAAAATGTTCATGAGTATACATAATTGAAATTTTAGTTGCTGTAGAATTCCCACTAGGACTTTGTTCTCCGGGGGGAGGGATTTGCTCACTTTGGAGGTTTTCCCAGTGTATGAAATAAGAAGTATGAAAATGTGAAATAGCTAAGAGAACTGGTTGAGAGATCAGGACTTCACCACCCCCCAAATTAAAATTTCTCTGTGCCTTTTAGGCATTAATTGAAATTGCCACCGTACTTACGTGCAACCATAACAACTTTTTTTTAAAAAAAGTCCTACTTTTCTAATAATACAAAAATCTGGTAGATATTACATTAAGAGCCATAGCATACCTTCTGTAATATGATCAAGGCAGCCATAAAGTTTGGCACATTTACATGTCTCTCAATGGCTAAATCAGAGCGTTCAATTAGCTCACTGACTAATGGAGCTCATCCACACTAACCTGCAGTTCACACCAAGCAACTTCTACCCAGGTTTCTGTGTCCAGACCCTTGAACACAGTTTTGAAAGCTCCTCTTCCCAACTCAATGTCAAATTTCAGAAATCTTCCACCAGGTGATGTAGCCACAGCCTTCATCTCTGCCTCCTCTTCTATCTCCTTCTTCATCCTTTCCTTCATGGCTTCCATAATCGCCTTTGAGTTTTGCTCATTTCTGGCTTCTTGCTCGGCCACAAGGGTAGTGGCGGAAAGATGGATCATTCTCTGATCCCCCGAGATAAATTGTTCTTGCTCATTGCGTGGAGTAAGTTCCAAGTCCTTTTCATCCTCCATTATCTCCACACTCTTTCGGAAAAACCTTCTTCTTTCTACAGTTGCCCCAGAGGCAGGTGTGCTAACACATTCTTTGGTCCTGGCCTCCATGGTCAAAGTAGCATCAACAGAAAGATTCATACATTCCAAAGAAACTCCATCAGGTTTCTCTGATTCCTCAGTGCTGGCTGATTCACCAGAGTCTGTAGCCATGACACAGCAGAGCCTTGGCACTTAGATATATGAAGTGTTTCCCTTCCTCTTCACTCCAGGCACATCATGAATAACTGCAATATTATCAGGACTTACTTCCTCTCAGATTATCATAAGATTCCCATAGCAACCTGTAACAAGAAGGAAGGGGGGGGGGGGAGAGAGAAGGTTGGTTTTAAAAGGTGAAATATGAAGCAGGCACCAAAACTGCAGTCTTCAGTTAATTAGTCTACCTTCTTTATCCCAGCAACAGAAACCTAGTTTTTTGTTTAAAGACATTTTTACCTCTAAGCCAGTAAGCTGAATTATGCACAATATAGATCACATTAGATTATTAGCTTCAAGAGTTTAATATCACATGATATTACTGTAAACAAATCCCTTGGCGGTTTGACATATGAGTGGAGTTGGTTGACCTAAATATTTCCTCCCTTTCCAACTTCTTAAATTCAGCAATTGTTAGTTAATTCACCCAATGAATTCATTGTCAGAGTTTGATGCATGCTTAGGAACTTACACACTTTGTTGTCTCCTACTTTATCTGTATTACATTGCAAATTGTATGCTTAACAAGATTCCCTCTTTCAAGTTTCCAAGAACCCTGTCAAGCTTGGAACCTTGTAATTTGAATTATTTCTCCATCCAAATGCTTCCTATTGCAGAAAAAAGGAAAATGAACACAAACAAATGTGACACTGATTGGTTAAAGTCACATAACAATAAGGGATCAACGTATAGTACAGTCTAATGACTAAAAATCCTAATTATATAGTACTGCTTCTATCTATATTGCTTGAAGAAAACGGAAACTACTTAGCAGCCATTTTTTTCAGAAAGTACTCCCTTTGTGTTTGCTCTGACCACAATTGCTCCTTATAAATTAAATGAAAGAGGCATTTTTATTCTTATGTTTTGAATGTGCATTGTGGATGCTTAATAATTAAATCCAGATAAACTGGTATTTCCTGCTAGTATGCTGTATTATGACCGAGCACTGTCCAAAGTGCTTGAGATTTTTTATGTGGTTTGAGGCTGAGGTGTTTTTTAAAAGCAAGCTTTCAAATGTAAAAAAAGAAAAATCCATGCCTCAATGGAAGTTCATTTAATCAGCCAGCCTCTGTAACAGCACATCTTCAAGCAAATGGAGTTAATGGAATCTATTCAAATCCCTCTAGATATTTATACTCACATGTCAAGTTTATTTACAAATGCTGAAAGCAAATGTTTCAGCAAAGACTTAACTACTCAGCATCAATGCATAAGCCAAAATCTTCTACTGTAGTACACATTTCAGTTAAATCAATTAACGTATGTAATGTTTTCATAAAACAATCCAAATCCATGTTACTGTGTCAAGTTTTTAATATTATAGATGCCTTGAGACATCGATTTTAAAAAAGAGCAAGAAAAAGAACAGATGTGAGAAAACCAACATGCTGCAGTTCTTCAATTAAACTTGTGGATGTATTTTATAATTCAATAGGAGTATGCAGAATCTGAGTGAGTTAAAAGGAAAAAAACTAGTGTAGTATATGTTGTAAAGGAGAATAAAGATGTGTAAATATTGTACTTGGTATTGCAAAAAAAAAAATTAAGATATCCTATATCACTACATGTAAAAAATATTCAATAAAGAGAATATTTGACATAGTTATTCCTTGGATATAAATCAACAGAAGATTATTCACTGAGATGGTATTATTTGCATGGCAAGCTATGCTTAGGTTTACTTCTGCCTTTTTTTATGTGGAAAAAAACAGAAGCCTCCTCCAGAAAATTGCCAGTTTCACCATCCCACCAACTATTATTAGTATTTTCACAATTTTATGGTGCACTCAGCAAATGTTTTCACCAATTCTTGAGCCAGTACTCCTCTAACTAGCCAATGGGGAAACACTAAAAATAGCAAAACACTCCCTTGGTGCATTTCATTTTTATGGCAAGAAACAAACAAACAACCCCCATCCCAAACCCAGCTGCCACTCTGCTGGAATGCAGCAAAGCCCCTCTGCTAAGTGGCCTGAAACTAATGGGGGGAACAGCAACAAAGCATCATGATATCTATAGTCTGGGAAGCAAAGAAACATCTCATGAGCCAGGAAGCAAAATGAGACCGGGAACTGCCTACCCTACAGCTACAGAGAAATGCTACACAACTTATCTTTCAGCAATTCCTTTAGAGGCAATTGACTAATTGAATCAATTAATTTCTGAATTGGTTCTGTGTACAAAGCCTGCTAGAAACCACTCAGCATTTGTCTGAAATGGTGTAGGGTTTCCTGCCTGAGCAGGGGGTTGGACTCGATGACCTCCAAGGTCCCGTCCAACTTTATTATTATTATTGTTATTATTGTTGTTGTTGTTGTTGTTGTTATTGTTGTTGTTGTTGATACATACATGAGAAAATGCCAATGCCATTTTAGTATCATTCTTGCACATGAAAGGGGACAAAATTAATTAGATATATAATTAATCCATCCTGAGCCTTGTGTATTCCAACAGAGTCTTATGACAATTTGTTTGTTTGTTTGTTTATTAAACTAGCATGCCATCCATCTTGCAGGAGATGACTCTAAGCAGCTTCAATTAAAATGCACTATAAACATTAAAACAATAAAATTCAAGTAAAATAAAACTAACCAGGATGGAGAGGGAACCAAATGTGCATAGGAAGGAGGTGAGATATTATCTACTCTAATACCCACCTCCAAACTGCCACACCTCCATTGGGGCCCCAAACTAGTTGGCACAGTCATGTTATCAAGGCCTTTTGGGGAAATATGTAGGATACAATGCAGGGATTACAAACAGAAGGGAGACTTGGTAGAAATATCCCTTAATGTGAATAGAACGATAGGATAGTGATCATTAAATGCAGAACAAAATTAATCAGTATATAATATTTGACAATCCATGCCCCGTTGGATCATCTCTTCAGAGACATTTCCCTACTTAAAACAGAGAAACAGAATGATGAAAGGCAGGCAAAAAAGCAAGAGCAATTTCTAACTTTCTGCTGGCTTCCCCATTGAGCTTCCTTGTGAGAATCTGGCAGGGAACACCGGATTGGAGAGCCAGTTTGGTCTAGTGATTAAGGCGCCAGGCTAGAAAGCTTCCGGAAGACTGTGAGTTCTAGTCCTGCATGAAACCAATTGTGTGACTTCCTGGCCAGTCACATTCTCTCAGCCCAATCCATTTCACAGGTTTCTTAGTGTGGGGAAAATAGAAGGAAGAAGGTCTGTTGGATATGTTCACTTACTTATTTGTAAAAATAATAAAGGCAGGATACAAATAAATAAATAAATAAATATCTCCCTTCCCAGCAGGAAGGTTAGTGGTTGCTGCTGGATGAGGAGGGAGGGGAGAAGGGATTGTGAGACTGGCTGAGAATCTGTCTCAAAACACTAAAAATGACAGTAGAAGCAACGCAGAAGTGCAGCAGAAGCCAGTAACACTGAAGCAGCCACAACTTCCCCAAATTTCATTCCTTGGCAGTCAAGGGTCCTGGATTTTGCACACATTCTGTAAGCCCATCTGAGGTACCTCAATTATTATAGTGTAGAACAGTGGTGGCGAACCTATGGCATGCATGCCAGAGGCGGCACTCAGAGCCCTCTCTGTGGGCACGCATGCCATCACCCCAGCCTTGCTTCCCTCTGCAGCCCCCTCCTCACCAGCCATCACCCCGGAGGAAAGTCGCCCCTGGTACGGCCTGCATGGACCAGCACAGCCAAGCACATGGCAGCTGGGCAGCAGGGACAAGACTCCTCCCTTGCGCCCCATCGTGCGCAGATGCTGCAGGGCACGGGCAGAGGGTGTGGCCACCATGGCGCTGCAGGGCCGCTTGGGCAATCTGCTGCAGCGGGCCATGGAGGCGGTGGGTAGCCCTGCAGGCGGGCGAGATGGGGGCAGGAGAAGAGCGGCAGCGGGCCAGAGGGCGGGGCGGTTTTTGGGCACTCGGTCTCTAAAAGGTTCGCCATCACTGGTGTAGAATATATCAAGAGAGCCAACTGGAAGTAATAGTTAAAGGATCAGGATAGAAACCTAGCATCTGAGTTCTAGTCCTGCCTTAGGCACAAAGTCGGCTGGATGATTTTGAGCCAGTCACTCTCTTTTAGCCTCAGAAAAGAAGGAATGGTAAATCACTTCCTCTTTTAAGATATAATTTTTATTGAAGATTTGTACATAAACAAAGATAAACATGAAAATAAAGTTAGAATTAATAAAAAAAGATGAAAGAAAAAGTACAAAAAGCATTACAAGTAGAAAGAAGAAAAAAGAAAATTAAAGAAGTGACTTCCGACCTTCTTGGTAGTGATTACAAACTGATTATCCGTCTCCCCTCTTTAAGATTACATTGGAAAGATTTCTACTATCCCATATTCAGACCATTTTTCAATCAGTAAATTTAGAAATCATTCAGCAAAAATGGCAAACTATTTCTGAAAAAGCTTGCCAAGAAAACTGCAGGGGCTACTCCAGGCACTTGCCAGGCATCCCTAATGATTCAAAAGCATAAATAATACAACAAAATAAACATAAATATATTAATCCACAAACTAAACTTAAAATTTCTAAAATCATGCGTTCTGTAATCTCATTCCCTGTGAATATCATTCTCTATTTTTGACATATAAGACAAAAGAAATTGATATCAAAGAAGTCCATGAAATTCTATCAATGCTTGCTTTACCTAGTTCTGCCACCTTTACACGGTAAAATTAAAATAAATTAGCAACTGAAGTATGCTAAGAAAATTAATTTTAACAACTCGCCCACTCTGTAACAAAATATTATTAATAGCCTGGTCCAGCAATCGCCTCCCCCCAACCTGCTGCAAAAAGAGAAAATGTGAATTCACAGGTGCAGCTCTTTTGCTAACGCTACTTGAAACGGAAATCCAGCGCATATGCTAACAGGAGCAAACATACAACATGTGATCGACAATTCACCTTTGAGGTCAAAAGCCAACTGGGCCTATGACATTCCCACATTGACTTTTAAAATCAAAGTGCCTCTCACTTGTACACATAAACAATAGCTTTTT